GTGATACCCATTCGTCTTGTGCTGTTGTTACGGCTATGTAGTTTCCGTATACTGTGAACGCATAATCAGACCTGATAGATTCAAATTTGGAAACTTATGTGGAACTGCATATAACGAATAAACCAAATTTATCCAACAATACAAAAACAACGTTTCTTTTTTTTCTTTGTGATCTCTTCAAAGCCCATATCAAAAGCTACATGTGTTAAAAATGTGGCAAAAAAACCCTTGGCCAAGATCACTGATCAAGCGAAAAAAAAAAGTGCTCTCAACTCACCCAAATACTCATTTTAAATTTTTGTTCTAAATACTCCTCATCTTTCCTTGCATAAAGCATCTCTTTTCATGAACAAAAAATCAACATCACTAGAATAGCAGACGAATTGATTAAAGTGAAAAAGCAGCAGTCAGCTACGAGCATCAGCAGTGACATATAGGAACAAAATTTCTCGTGTTTGATGTATTCAAAACAACAACAACGACCAACATTTTCCAATAACATGTAAAAAATTTGGCTTGAAATAATGCCTACAACACAAATCGATCCACAGATTACAAACCTTACGAGTATTTATTTAAAATTTTACCGCTTGTATCTCATCGTATACTAATCGCATGTTTTTGACGAGGTGTACGTCAGTGATAATGCTGTTTCCAAAAGAATCATTAAAACGCTTGCTAGTCTAATCCGAAATGTCTATCACTTTTAAGAAAGTGGTAAATGAAGGAAGGAAGGGAACTGAACTTTATTGAAATGAAACGGTTTGGTGATTGGAATGTTTCTGCACAGATAAAAAACTGCATTTTTACCAGTAAAACGATCAAACACTTTTGCATAATGTACTGATGCTCGAATAGCCGCCATACCGCAACCTTTTCAGACTGTTTGAAAACACTTCAGTAGCCTATTTTCAGCCCGATCATTCCATTGAACTTAATTGGAACTGTTATTTTGCAACTACTGAGACCAGTATAAGTAAAATGCGGAGACAAAAACATAGAGCCAGTCAAGCAAAAGAAAAGATGAAAAAAGCTTCCGTTCTTGTTGCCATAATTTTCATGCTTCGAAGGCAGATATACAAAAGCAAGTTAACTCCTTATAGTAGAAAGCAAAGATGCTGCTTTGTTGTACGGAGAAAAGTTTGAAATACCTGGCTAAATAAGGCAGCAGTAACATAAAGTAAAACAGCATGGCTGTAAGAAGTGTTTGTTTGATTAAGTGACTATAAACGGACAGATCTAATAACAATTGAATGTGTAGTGTAGCGTTCCGTAAATCAAGCTCAGTGTTCTGTCTAATAATAAAGGTGCCTTCTTAGTTGATATGCTAATTTAAATTTCATGTTTCCGAATCAACATCTCCTGGAACCTTTCAGTTTTGATGGTAAGACTAAAGCTGTTGCTTGATTAATTCCCAATCGTTAAATATAGTGCGCATTTAACAGTCATATTTTAAAAGCAAAAGTCTCGGCAAATGCTGTAATTTGTTGTTGTGCCATCTCTAAAA